ACTTCTTTCTTGTTTGTTTTTAATAAGCTCAGCCTTTATAGAGTCCATCAGACCCAAAAGAAGTTACTGAGTTCTGAGAAGGAAAAGTTGATTTGGGCTGAATTGCATTGGGAAATGGAGATGCTGTAGAGCAGAGGAGCTGAGACAGAAAAAGAGAGGTTGGTTCTTGAGTTGAACAAATTCTTGGAATCCAAAATTTGCAGAACTTTTCTATTCCATAGGGAATAGTGGAAAGTGTGAAACTTCCATTTGTTCCTCAGGTGAGTTAAGGGCTTACTGTACTTACTCTTCCTTTTTCTCTTCATCTTTTTCCCCTTCTTCTGTCCCTTCTATGCTATCTCATGAGTCAGAGTGGGTGTATCACATGTAATTAGTCTACATTGCTGTTCATGTTGAGGCAGCTACCTTACACAACTGTCTTTCATCAAGAAAAATCTGCCAACTGAGTGACCTGCAGCACATTGCCAGGTGACCTATTCCACTTCAGAGGCTGCTGTGCAGTTTGATGCTGGTTGGATTAGGAAGTGTGACCACAGTAATTAGCAGGAAGTCTCTGGATCTGGATGCAGCACATTAAATGCAGTCTGGCCCTTGGAAAAATCTGACCTTGCTAAATGAAGAGTGGGCAGGCTGGGTTGGGGTGCAGAGATGAGATGGGCAGGAGAAGATGTGAGAGATGAATTTAATGTCACAGAGCTTCTCATGGGCTGGGGATGGACATGCTTTTTTCAGAGGCTGCAAAAAGAATTGCTTGCAGCTATGTGTCAGAGAAAGGGTTAGAATGAGTTAAAATGGATTGACTTTTCTCCTCCAGCACACACGTGCTCCTTAAATACCAGGGGAGTACAAAGGGAGCAAGTCTTTAAAAAAAGATTTGTTCTATAGACTGCAAAGATGTATGATTACTAGCAGTCCTACAATTTATGGCAGGCAAATGTGCATGTGGGGCTTTTATGATGTGCAAGTAAAGCAAAAAGATAGAGGGAAGGAAAAGGCGTACTCTCCAAATGCCCATCTTTTCTATCAACAAATGTTGCCTTAGAGGCAAAAGATTGGGTGTTTCTTTTTCACTTGGTGTTCTGTGTGCTTGTATTAGTCACACCCATTTATTTTTGGCATAATTCATGCACTATTTGAAACTTGGCAAGAGTAGGGATGTTATGGCCAACAGTCAGTCTTGCTTCAGGAGTTTCTATGAATATGAATGCCTGAAGTTCACATAAGCTTACTCTGTTGCTATAGCAACAGATTTGTTGTGAAATCCTTGTATTTTAAAGGCTAGATCCTGTAAATTAACTTCATTTTCACTAGGATGTGTGATGCTAGTGATTTGTCCATGTATTGTTTTCAGTTGCGAATATTAGGGGAATGGGTAAATGTGAGGATTTAATGAAATTAGCTCTAATCACAAACAATTCCAGCACTTAAGAACAAAGTAAACTAGTTTTGTGTGCCATCCAGAGAGGGGCTGAGTGTCCCCAGCTCAAGCAGAGTTCAGAAGGAGTTGGAGTTGCTGAATAATACAGCTCAAGGTGCTGCAGAATGGTGCCTTACATAAATGGCTTAGTCCCTGCTGAGCATCTGTCACCGACAGGGATGTGTTCAGTTGTAAAACAACACACTAGGAAGTGTCTCATAGAAGCAGAGGAGAGTAAAAACCTGCTGGACTTTTTTATTTTTATTTTTAAGGGGAATATTAAAATATGCTTTAACTTTTTTTCTTGCTCAGGGATGTTTGAGTCTCATTTGACAATGAGCCCTGTCCAGGCAAACCCCTGCACTCAAGTCCATATGTTCTGTGTGGAAAACGGGGTCATTGCAGGTTCAGGGTCTTAGTGTGTCTTCATGAAGGGCCATCAAATAAACATAACAAACTAACTTGGGAGTGGAGAGGAAGTAGGAGCTATTTTTTATTTTTATTTTTCTTAATTCCTGCTGTTTTCTTTCAGTGGACTAATCATGTAATGTAACTTTAAGAAGTCGACAACCCAAACACCAACCCCTCCCTCCACAAATGGGTTTTCCAGATAGGTGGGATCCTTTCTGATGAGATAGTGGAGCCCAGTTTTCAGTTTGTAAGTCCCTAAGCCTCCCAGTGTTTGCAACTGTTGAAGTAAATGGAATCCTACTCAGATTGTAAGGTTAAACCTCTGTTTGAGCCTCTTCAGGGTCGGTCCAGGAATGACTTACACCAACCTCCTAAAAAGGGAAAGGAATGCCAAATTAATGGCTTTTCTTACTCTTTGACTTGGGTGCCTCTGGTGTTTCAGGGACTTATAGGTTTATGGGATGCTGGGTCATTCCCATTCTGCTAGCAGGAGTGTGCTAGGGAAGGGGGAAAGACTCTGCAGGCCAAATGACCTTACAGCAGTAGTTTAAGAGGATAGTTCTCATTATGGAAGTGAGCTGACTTGCAAAACTATATTTTTATACAAAGCTGGTTTTGGTTAGACCGGTACGTAAAAGTATCTGAAACACAAAACTTTGATTTTGTGGTTGCAGTCTTTAAATATTTAAAAATGACCAAAATACTTTTAAGATTTGTTTCATCTTTACTTAAAAACTGCTTCCCCAATTCATGTCAAGTTTCACTTTTCATGCTGATTTTTCAGTCAAGGATAAAATAAAGATGTGAGATTTTGGAGTGGAAAAAAGAGGGTGCTGGTGACAAGAGGATAGGCTTAAGAATCTCTGAAAACTTTTTTTTTAAAATACATTTTTGCTGAAGGTTGTGCAATAACCACATGCAATAAGCAATGTGCAGTCTTGCCAAAGCAATTATCTGATTTGCCTTCTAGAGTACAAAATGAACCTATTGGCAAATTCAACAGCAGTCCAAAGTACCAGTGATGTTTTTTCAATGACAGGATGGTGGGTTGCAATAATTTGTCTTTTGTAAGGATTGCAGCTTTTCTTGTAATAAAGGATGGATATGAACTATATTTTAAGGACAACCAGAAGCTTTCTAGGAACAAGATGGGCACCTGATAATTAAAGAAATACATGAATGAAGTGAAGTATGTGCAATTCTTAATTCATACAAAGACTCCTGAGCAGTTTCTCAGGGCACATTTGGAGCCAGAAAGGGAAATTACAGATGAATCACAGTCACTGATAGTTTTTCTTGTCATCCCTGAGGTCAGTGAGTATGTATGTCTGTACTGCAGAGCTTCAGTATGCTGCAGAGCTCAGAGGTACACACATCTTGCTGAAGTCACCCTGAGACTCACCTCCCTTCTGTCCATCTCCTGTCTTGTTAAGCTGTGACCCGTCATCTGACACACATTTCCTGGATAAACAAGTATCAGGTTCACTTCTCACCTGGCCACTGCCTATGGGGACTGTTCTGCTGGACTAGCTCCATACTTCTTTTTTTACATCTTTCCCATGGAAAAGATCATAGAATTATAGAATCATAATCATGGTTATGATTGGATTTGGATAGGTTTTGGAGGCACCTTAAAGATCATCTCATTCCAACCCAACTGTCATGGATGCCTTCCATCAGACCAGGTTGCTCAGAGCTCCATTCAGACTGGCCTTGAACATGTCCAGGGAGGGGTCATTCATAACTTCTCTGGGCAACTTGTTCCAGTGACTCACCACTCTCATAGTAAAGAATTTCTTCCTAATATCTAAACCTACTCTCAGTTTTATGCCATTTTGCCTTATCCTGTCACTACATGCTCTTTTAAATAGTCTCCCTCTGCCTTTCTTGTGGACTCCCTTCAGGTATTCGAAGGCCACACTTAGGTCACTCCAAAGACTTCTCTTTTCCAGGCTGTACAATCCCAATCCCAATCCCAATCCCAATCCCAATCCCAATCCCAATCCCAATCCCAATCCCAATCCCAATCCCAATCCCAATTCCAATCCCAATCCCAATCCCAATCCCAATCCCATTCTCTCAGCCTTTCTTCATAGCAGAGTTGCTCCACCCCCTATAATCATCTTGGTGTCCTGCTCTGGACTGGTTCCAACAGGTCGATGTCCTTCCTGTGCTGGGGGCCCCAGGTCTGGGTACAGCACTGCAGGTGGGGTCTCACCAGAGTGAAGCAGAGCAGCAGAATCCACCCTCACCTGCCACCCACACTGCCTTGGATGCAGCCCAGGGCACATTTGGCTTTCTGGGCTGCCATTGCACATGGCCAGGGCATATCCAACCTCCTATCCACCCAAGGCTGCTTTCCTTCTGTACAGCCTCCAGCCTGGACTGGTACTGGGGGTTGCCCTGACTCAGGTACAGCACCTTGCACTTGGTCTTACTGAATCTCATGAGATTCCAATGGGCCCAATTGGATCTCAATCAAGCTTGTCCAGGTCCCTCTGGGCCCCACCACTCAGCTTGGTGTCATCTACTGAGGATGCACTTGATCCCTTCGTCCATGTCATTAATGAAGATATTGGTCCCAATATGGACCCCTGAGAGACACCACTTGTCCCTGATTCTGAGACATTGACCCTCTATATGCAAACATCCAACCACTTTCTTATCCATCCAAGAGTCCACTCATCAAATCCACCTCTCTCTGTTTTAGAGAGAAGGGTGCTGTGGGAGACCATGTCAAGGGCTTTACAGAAGTCCAGATAAATTACACCTGTAATTCTTCCCTTGTCCATTGATGTAGTCACTTCATTCTAGAAGGCCACTGGGCTGGTCAGGCAAGACTTGCCCTTGGTGAAGCCATTCTGGCTGTTCTGGATCACCTCCTTGCTCTCTATGTGCCTTAGTAGGTTTTCTCAGAGAATCTGTTCCATGATCCTCCCAGGCACAGAGGTGAGGCTTACAGGTTTGTATTTCCCAGGGTCCTCCAGTATACGTTTTTTAAAGATAGATTTTCCCCTTTTCTGAGGTTTCACCTGTCTGCCATGGCTTCTCAAATATCATGGAAAGTGGCTTGGTAACTACACCAGTCAATTCCTTCAGGACTCTGGAACACTCATTGGGTTCCATAGACCTAATGATGTTTCCCTCCTTTTCTGTTTATGTGCAGTGGCTCTGTGCAGGAGAGAGTTCTCATCCAGAAACATCCTAGAGAGTGCCAGAAAGGGGGACAAAAAGAGAAGCTACCTGCCTCTGGATACAGGAAGAAGGCAGATAGTGAAACTCAGAGAAGAATCCCAAGGCATCCTTTGCAGTGTTTATTGCTTGTGAGAGCAGGCTGAGAGTTATTCCTTGCTGTGCTTCCAGAGCAGGAGCATTTGGTGCTTTGAGTGAGTACCAGAGAGGATTACTAGTTGAGCCCTTTTCTGGGGCAGACTGTTCCATTACGGTGTGTTGGTTAGGTTTTTGCACACACAGAGAAACTGTGAGCTTTCCGAGGTGAGGATAATGGCCTTCCTTTGAAATGTCTTTCTGGGCAGCCCGACCACACTCCCTCAAAGATGGCATATGAAATTTCTGTCTCCTCTAAAGGAAACAAACACAATGAGGCTTCAGTACAATGACAAATTACTGTTGGGATCAGGAGGCAGGCAATGCTCTGCATGTTATAATGTGGTGTAAGTAGCTCTACTGGCTCCTATCTCCAGCTTGTTTTGACATTTTCTGGCAAAGAAGCAGGCTGTTGCTCCTCCTTCCTCCTCTTTCACATTATTTGTTTTGTATGTTTAATTGGCAAATTGGAGCAAGTGTGGAAGCTTGGATGGTTGTTTTGCCCAGAGCTTGGCTTTTTAACAAACATCTGGCCCCAGCTCCAGACCCAGATAGTTTGTTCTGGACACTTGAAGGAAATGCATACTTTACAAGTGGTCCATTGAATGTCACTATGATGCTCTGCAGAAATGCAGCTCTAATGAGGTTTGTCTGGCTGTAAACAACATGAACAGAAAGCAGTTTGGAATTGTCTTTTTTTTTTTTTTTTTTTTTGTCTTTCCAGTTTGGGATACTGAGCTTGTCTCTTATTCTAACTTAATTTCATAAGCACAGAGAGGTATCTTGTCTTCACTTACTTGTTTGGATGACCAGGGAAGTAATACCTGTTTACTGTGCTTGGTAGATTTAGCTTATAAATTTATTTTTATTTTGGGACAGAGAAAACTCCATGGGAAGTAGAGTGGACTGTAGTGCTAGAAAAGGTACTGCTGGCTTCTCTGTTTATGATGCTATGAGTGTAAAGAATAATATTATTGAGGACTTGCTGTTACTGGACTTCTGAGGGTATTAACCCTCACTGTACTTCATTATCCTCTGAGAGAGAGATGAAAAGGCTTCCCTAAGGTTTGCAAAAATGGAGAAGTTGAGCAGTAAGAGGTACTATATTCCCTTGTGCTGCTGTCTTACCAAGCAAGATGAAGCAGAGTACAAGGAATAACTGAAAAGAAGTGATCAAGAGCAAATGGACTGAGAACACAATGCCCATAATTAGTGAGACAAGTTGTTTTTTCTTTTCACATGACTGTTACTGCTAATGAGAAGAGTTATGTTCTCCACTTCTTGAATTACAAGTTTTAGGGCAGGAGAAGCAGCTAAAAAGTACTAATCAGTGAGCAAAGGGAGAGAGATGTTGTCTATCTTAGGTGATATAGGCTTCTTTTCTTTCTGAATTCAGACTTCTGAATTGAATTCTGTGTTTATAGTGCTGGGACAGAAGAGGTGTGCAAGGAAACAGAGTCAGCAGCTGAAGTGCATAGCCAGGAGTCAGTTCCCTGTACCTGGCCTCTAAACACTGGGAGGACGTGGCTACAGGAGTCATGGAGTGAGGTGTGTGACCTGTGATGATTCCAGGTAGAGCCACTGATGTTCCCAGTTAAGAAATGTGCTATCCCAGGTGCCCCTTTGCAAGGTACATAGTTGTGTTGCCTGAAGGAGTCTCCCCTCTCAGCTTCCCATCAGTTTGATACCTGTGGGCAAAAACTCCTTTCCTTCCCATCCCATCTGCTGCCTGAAGCATATGTGTGATCACTGCCTTGGTCTAAGTCCAAGCAAACCCACTTAGATTTACTCTAAACTGTTCAGTTAAGCAATTGTTGACAAGGCTCATCCCTCTAACTTGGGTCATTTTTTACTAGGGTTTGCTGTTGGACTATTTAGCCTGACTTGTTTAGAATAGAACTTTAGTGTGGCATGACCTTCTCACTCTTACTGTCTTCTAACAAAGGTAGAAGGGTGGGCAGTAACTGAAGTCATCCTTCTGTGATCAGAAGAGGGCATATGGTGCAGTAGCAGTTATACCCATTGCTCCTCTATAGAAGTCTCAGTATTAAGGGTGTGTGCAGATTTTACTTTTGTTAGTTTATGAAATAAAGCCCACAAATAAAGAAATTGAGACAAAGGGTGTCAACCAGGTTGGGGAATAATACATTAAATCATGTCTGACCTGTGGTAAATATGCATGTACAAGTGCTTTGTCCCTGAGCTGTACTTGGAACATAGCTAATTTCTGTTGTTGATAGTGAATCTGATTCAGATGAGTTGAAGTCCTGCCTCAGATTCTGTATCTGTGCATGGGTAATTACCACAGTCAAGCTGATGCTCAAGGTCTAGAAAATGTGTCTGATACCTGAGACTCACTCATCGTACAAAAATTGGGAAATATCTGTGGCAGGCAAGCTATCTTTTTGCTGTACTTAATAGCAAATATTAAGTCCTCAGTCCTAATGGATGATTGCTCTCATTGGAGCATGGAGACAGCACTTTGGAATTCCAGTTACTGTTCTCCTGGAAGCATAGAGAACCATGGCCATCAAAACCATTTAGTCCCTGTTGCATTTTGCAGAAGGATATACTTCTGATCCTTGTGGAATATTTCTCCATGCAAGGAGACAAGTCCTGGTGACAGCTCTCCCCCAGCCTATCCAGTAATGCAGAAACCTGTTTCTAATCTGGAAGGACTGCTGGAAGAGTTCCACTCATGGGATTTCAAATTTCCCATTTGTCCAAGAGAAGAATCCCTTCAAATTCTTCATTGGTGAAACCTCAGCCACAGTGTAAGTAGGGAACTTTATCACTTGGAAATATGATGCTGGAGAAATCCATCTTGACCAGGTAAGGTGTGTTATGTTCTGCACACAAGTTTACAAAATGGCACTTAAAATTCTTTACAACCTCAAGAGCACTTTTCAAGCCTTGACTAAACCTGGAAATACTCCTTTCTGCTGTGAGATACCAAAGTAGGTGGTACAATTCCACACATAAAACTAGGAAGATGACCTTCATGTAGTTAAGTGGGTTGACTCCAGGCCACACAATGCAGATACAGACCTTTGGTCTTGCTTCTATGTTTAAGCACACCCTTCAAATTGGTATTTCAGCCTGCAGCTTGAAGCATGTCAGGATTGCAGGTGAGAGACCATGGCTGCAGGAAAAGTCAGAGTTCTGCAAGGTGCAGTTTGTAATAAAAAAACAGTCACAGTCCCATTGAATACCATCCTGTCCTGTTCAGATCACAAGAAGCCAAGTTTTTCATCCAAGCCTGTATCCATGACTGATTTGAAGAAGTAAAAGCCTACTGTATCCTGCTATATAATAAGCCTCCAGCTGGACTCTAATTAGGCAAATGCTATTACATATCAGCCTAGAAATTTGGGCTCAGTGTGGATTCAGTTCTTTTCCCATAGAAGCCGGATGAAGTGACATCTCTGGTTTCAGGTTGGCTCAATGTCTATGTCTTTTGGGGCTGAATCACAATTTCAGTCATTAGAAAAACCCTTTTTTGACTGAATTTTTTCGGTGACACCATTTCTGTCTGTAATCAGTGTAAAATATAAGAGGAAACAAAACAACTTTGGCTCCTTATTAATTTTTTCCCCCCCAGAGAATGGAGGAATCTGGGCACATCAGCTGTCTGGCCTGGAAGCAGCTGGCGGCTTTTCAAATACACGGACGTCTTTCCAGTTTTCGAAGAAGCCGTGTGTGGGTTGGAAGGAGAGCAGACTGCCTCTGACTGATAGATGAGCTTCGGAAATTCTGCCCTTGTTTTTAGATATTTTCAAATATTTGGAGAACAATATTAAAATAAATGACTGACAAAATGATGATTACTCTTTTCAGTATTTCCATGGTTGCACAACAAGGACAGCACATGAAGAAAGAGCTGAAAGTTACATTATCATTGTAGGAGCAGCAAAAGTGTCAACATTGATTTAAGAACAAAGTCACACAGACGATTTTATTTGTTCCTGATCCTCCTCTGCGATACTTCAGTCTGTTTACACAGTGTTACCCAGACTGACATTTCCTATGTGTGTCCAAATTAGTTTAATTTAAAATTGCAATGCATATTGAAGACAGAGAATTACAGCTCATGTGCAGTAATCTTCCAGAAATTCACCATTGCTACTGATTAGCTTTTATTAACACCACTAACTACTGAATTCAGACAGAATGTTATTTCAGATCACATTAAACTGATGATGAGTGCAACATTTCTATTGTTTGGAGCTGACACAGATCCAGTGGAAAAATTATTCCCTGAGAGGTATAGATGGATTTTTCAGCAAATCAGAACATAAAATGCATTTGTTTTAGACTCAATATTCTAGACCAAGAAAATACTCTGAACTGTGTCACACTGTATTTTAAAAAAGGTATGTTTCCAAAATCAGGGGGGAAAAGTATTCTGGATAATAAATAAATCCTTTCAGCTTCAAAGAGTCCACTGTGGTAAGGATGAATGAAAACACAGAGTTTAGGAATATGAGGAAAGTGGTTTAAGTAACAAGACTGAATAGCAAAGCCCATCAAAGCCATTAAGGCATAAACCAACAGATTTTAAAAAGTGAGAGTTGAAGATTATTTAGCATGGTGTGGAGGCTTTGCAGAACCCATTTCAAATGAGGATGGAACAAAAGAATGAGCAATTGCAGCTTTAGGGGAGATTTATTTCAGTGGAAGGGAAAACACTTGCTCTCTGATACCAATTAACCAACAAGAGGACAGCGTCACAAGCCCCTGATATTAAAAATGTAAATCCCAAGCCCAAGGGTGCCTGAAATGCAGGTCATACAATTTGAGGAGAGAATGCATAAAGAGATAACGAGACTCATATTCAGACCACATCGGCTGCCTGATTATCTCCTTGCCTTCTGCCTATTCTGCTGGTTTCCAGCAGGGGAGTGTCAGCAGAGAGGCACAGGAGGCTCCACAGGATCACCTTGGGAAGTGGGTTGAAGTTGATCAACTGTGTGTCACAAAGGTTAGGAAAATGGAAGATTAAAACCTGATATGGTACTGGGAGGCAAACAGGTGAGGGAGAAGCAACATAAAGGAGCTGTGGCACAGATTTTGCACCCTGGGGCTTTGTGTGGGGCTTTAAATCGGTGGTTCCTGACACAGGGCATGACAAGAGTCTTTTGGATGCATTTACTTACTCTCACAAGGGGTCATGAACTCAGCTGAGACCATGACATCCATCCAGAAGTAGGGTTTTAGGGTGTCATGAGCAGCATGGGAATCCTGCTGCAGATGTGCAGTTTGCAACTCAAAGGACATCATGAGCCGGATGGAGCACAAGGATTCTGGCTGGGAAACTTTGGGCCAGCTGCTTGGCAGGTTCAAGGAGACTGTGGACTCGAGTGGGACAGCTAAAAACTAAGTATCTTTATTAGTACTGATGCAATAAAGGGCCCAAGTTGTCCCCCGAGGATCTGCCTGAATTTAAAGCCTGGATCTGGAATCTCACACGCCTTAGGCTTGATCCCAAGAGTCAGAACATGCTATTTTGATAATGCCAACTCATTTCCATGCTGTCAGGGCAAGAGGTAGGTGCTGATAGATAGATCAGCTGAGGTTCTAAAACTAGGAGAATCAAATCCTTATTTCTCCAGGTCACTGGGGTTTAGTACTAAAGGTAAAAGGCTATAAATGTAGTTTCTGTGGTTGATAGTAACAATCTGATGGTAGAGAAGAAGAGACAATATTGCAATCTCCAGAATATGGCCTCAAACACAAGACTCTACTGCTATTAAAGAACCTTGGATCATGGGAATGCTATTTTTAATGACTGTAGGTGTTTCTTCATTATATTAAGTAGACATGTTGCCACAAGACCAGGCTGCCTTTGATTTATGGTAAAGAGATTGTGATAGGAATTAAATGAAAATTCATAAGAAAATGAATCTAAATAAGAATAATTGATGAGATTCGTAGTTCATTTGCACTTATGTTCATCATATCTATTGTCTGAAGAAATACACTTATTTAAAGCCAAGTGACAGATTATAATTTACGAACTTTGTATTCATGACATCACTGTATTGTCTATTCCATAGTAAAAAATGTTAAGCCTGAGTGATTATTTTCACAAAATACTATTATAGAGTTATAAATGTCATTAAACAATAGACTGAGGTAGTACCTAGTAACTTCAATCTCTGGATTAAGAAAATTACATGGAGTGAAACTATTCTATTAAAAACCAAAGCCTTGGCACTGTCTTTTCCATAACTGTTATGCAGTAAGTAATTTAATTTGCATCTATTTTCCACTTGTTTTAAATTCTAATCAATAAATTCTATTTTTTCTTTATATTTAAAAAGTCTTCTTCTCCAGTTTTGGAGAAATATGATCCAAAGGCCAACACAGCCCTTCCTTGGGAAATGTTAGAAGTGGATTTACAGTGCTGCTGGGCAATCTGAAATTTGTTGGGTTACAATAATTGCCTTCACCTTTCACAAAAAAAAGAAAAAAAATTTTTTTTGCATTTTTGCAGAGCCAACAGCAATTGACTTTATAGGAGCAACATTTTTGCTGCTCTTGGACTTCTAGCAGATTCCATTCCATATTCGAAGAAACCCTGTAAAAGCTCACCAGAACTGGGATCTCCCCTGTGTGAATGACACCTCTCTCCCACCCAGAGTCATTTCTTTGCATGTGCATTAGCAGTGAGTCTCAAGGACACCTTGACCATGTCAGAAACTGAAGCAGGTAGTTCAGTGAGCTGTTCAAGGAGGTTTGTTAGAAGAAAATCAGCCCTGTTTCCTACACCCTTCCCAGCGTGATGGTGAGATGACAGAAGTTTGAGTGGCAGATCAAGTGTTTAACGCTCTCCGTTTAAAGCCAGTAGTTTGCCTTTCTTTTCTGGAAGTGCTTCTCCTTCAGAAACATTTGAAGCTGTACATTTGTACATTCAGAAACATTTGTACATGCTGCTGGCGGCTCAGGTTATTCTCCACAGTGGCCACTAGAGAGAGCGAGTGGCCAAGGCAATGCTTTGTTTAAGTACTGCAAAATGTTTGAGTCGAAAAGAACTCAGCCATCCCCCGGAGCAGTCTATCAAGCACCATTAGATGATCTATCCATTTTTACATTTTTTTCTCTTCCTTAATACAGAGGTGTGGCTTGAAGCCTTCAATCCCAAATAACTGAATCTTCCTATTTCATTGACCAAAGTTAAGCTATTGATATCAATACATACTTTTCCCACTGTTCTAGCCATGAATTTCAGTTGTTGCAATGCTCTTAGTACAGCCCATTGTTCCTGTGGGCAGAGATCACAGTAGCTCTTAGCAATCTTGCTGGAGACATGTGAGGATTTTGCTAGTAGTCTGCAATTTTTCCCAAAATGTGGTGGATGGAATATCATTATTTCTGGCAGTGCTGAGGTAACATGCATAAGTTTTTTTTTAAGATTCCCATAATAGTTGCATTTGCTTATGTTATTACATATGTGATAAGGTATTTTTGTTCACACTCAACACTGGACTCCTTTCAGGAGGGCTGATATGGTTCAGAGGTGGATGTTCTTGTTCTTACTGACAGGCCCCTAACTGAGAAGCTGAAGAAATGGGGTGAGAAGTTTAAGGGAAGCCATCACTCACTGAGATCTTAACCCACACTTTAATACCCATCTGGGATCTCTTCTTATCACAGAAACCACATTTTACAAATTATTTACCCAAGCAAATAGCCGGGCAGGCACGTTAAGAATGACTGTAGCATCGCAGAGGAGTGGGCTGTGAAACAAAGGAACTTGCCAGTGCCCAAGATCCTGTCTCAAAATTGTAATTGCTTAGGGAAAGTGATTCTCTACTTCATAAAATGTTATGTACTGCAAAGTGAGTGACTCATCAATATGGGGATATTACCACTAACTCTTAATGCAACTCTCCCCTCTAAAGGGCAGAAAAGCTGGGGCCTGATTCTGTTTCCATTAGAAATTGTGAGAGTTTTGTAGATGATTTCAATGAGGACTGAATCAGACCTTCATTATTTTTATGGGCTAAACGTCCTATGCATTCAATGCTTATGCCATTACAAAGACTTATGTTTGTAATAAGAGACATATTGCTTTGGGTATAAATACAGCCACAAGTATCAAATACAAAAAAATATTTAAGTACACTGAGGCAAATTTGTCCCTGTTGCCACTCCAAAAACTTAATAGAATTACACCAGGGATAACACAGGAGAACAATAGCAATTGAAGTAATCGGAAACAAAATAAGCTTTTAATCGCCCTAATCTAACCCCTTGCCCCTCACTCCCAAATTTATTGATAGCAAACAGGAGTGTTCAGAAAACCAGCTAACCCTGTTGCTGTGAAGGGAAAACACTGTTATGCCTAATATGATGTGACATGACAGAAGATTCCTTATGAATCTTGATGCACAGGTAACCCAAAAATTAGTTGTATATGTGCATATGTTTTGGAAGATTTTCCTGTCCTATGTTTTGTGGTGTCCCACTTCCATTCCTACAGACACTCCCTGTTTTCCCTCAGAAATAACCCCTTAAAGTCCTGTGGCTCTTATCATGCTAGTGAGAAATTTAAGCATAATGAAATAAGAAGATGAGGTACACAGAGGGCCTCACCTTAAAGGTGAGGTCAGACCCTAGAGCACATCTCTCTCCAGTCCAACAGTGAAATGTTCTCAGATCTGTTGTCCTTTAACCTGATGGATTTGACAATCACATGTGTCTGTTGATCTACTTTAATTTTGAATAGACCTCGCCGTTGTCTGTGTGGAGGAATTGTTTTTAAAGCAAATAGCCTATTTTTTT